GAAGTGCCAAATGGTTAAGTGCTGCCACAGGGGAGTACATCTGCCACGGCATCAGAGCACCGAGTCCCAGGTTGCAGCATCTCGGGCACGGTGACAGACTGGCAGCTCTCCCACCACACCTGGACTGCACAGGCACGGAGAGTCCACCTGACATGGCTGGGAACAGCTTATCCAGCTTGCTTCTGGAGGCTCCTACTCCCCCCAGCCTTCCTGTGCAAGGGAAAAACACTCTCTCAAAGCTGAAGAGAAAACCAGCCTGCTGTTCTCCCAGAGCGGCGCATAATTGAGTCGGCGTGATGCCGCGCACTACCAAATGCAGCAGATGGCTGCAGGCATCATCCAGTTTAGGATGACAAAGTTGGAACAAAAGAAAAACAGAAGGCAGGGAATGCATCTTCTGCTCTGGGTTACTGGGCAGGGGCTGAACCTTGGCACAGCCGGGCCATCGCCAGCACACAGCCAGCTTCCAGCTCTGCCACTGCCGCACGGACAATGACCAAATGCCCAAGCCTGGAAATGACAAACAAAAGTGAGGGAAAGCCACATCTTCCCAGGTAAAAGAGGCAGGAAACTACCAGCTGTCTGTTGACCTGTTTCTAAAACCCCATAAAAGAAAATCTCCAAAAATCCCCTCACAATGCCAGCCCTAAATATGACAAGTCTGACTTCCAGGACTCTCCCACAAAACCTGCAGGAATTCAGAAATTGAATTATGACCTCTGTGTATCGACACACATAATTTCACTGCTGGAAGGTAAAGCACTGATGTGAAAGCATGCAGAAAATGAGACAAGATGCTTCAGATCTGTACAGTGTACCATGAATGGTGCCTTGCAGGGAGGGCTCGGTCTGTGGTGGCATTTAGGGGTTTATTTTTGCCAAATCCACCCCAAAGGATCACAGACTTTAGGAGTGGAAACATTCCTTCCATTTCCCCGGGCGCCTTGCTCACAAAGCAGCTGCCTACAAGGTTCACCACAAGAGACAGACTGGAGAAGACAAGAGAGATACGGCTCCACAGGAAGCTGCACAGCACACTCAAACAATTTCTTTATAAAGTTCAGCCCTTTGTGAAGGCAATACAGCTTCCATGCCCAGACTGACTGGTTTATAATAGCCACTGTGGTCAGCAGTCCTTGCAGGACACAGAGACACCACCATTAGCTCCAGAGTTGGGCATGGAGAAAGCTCTTTTGGCTGCAGGATGCTGCAGCCTGTGATCCTGAACATGGATCCTGCACAAACTCCTGCCCATATTGCATTTGAGATTTCAGTGATCCCTTCAAGGGACCTGAGTGAAAGCACCTTCACTGCACTCAAAAAACCAGCCATGGGAACATTTTGGAGTGGAAGAAGTTTTTTGGAAGGGCAGGAAAACACTTTGTGCTACAGCAGAGCAGCCCGTCCTCCACCCAGAGGTGGAGCTGCCCCAAAGCAAGGCTGGCACACAGAGATATCGAGCTTGGCAGGAGCTGCTTGTGGCCCACTTTGGGCACTCACACCAGGCTGGTTAAGGCACCCTTCTCCAGCAGGCAGGCTCCCAGCCCAGCTGCAGCCTGTGTGGTGAAGAGCAGTGGGAGAACATTTCCAGTTCACTCTCCTCGCGGAGCAAAATGCACTTGGGAAAGGAACCAAAGAGGTCAGGGCAATATGTCTATTTTCTGACCCCTATAAATCAGGGGGAAATAAACCCAACCCCCTAAGGGGCATTCAAATGCTATTAGTGCCTCTACCATACAAACATTGTATGGTAAATCTCTGATTTACACCATAAGGAGTTAAAGATCTTTCATGGAATGATAGAATGGTTTGGGTTGGAAGGGGACCTTGAAAATCATCCATTTCCAAACCCCCCATGGGCAGGGACACCTCCAACTAGACCAGGTATCTCAGAGCCCCATCCAACCTGACCATCCTTTACCTTTGTTCAGGGACAAGGTGTTCACTTAGTCTGAAAAACCATAAACCACACCAACTCATTAGGTTAAATTATTTCTTTTTTTAAGCATTATTTAATTTCAATCCACATGTGGAACAAAAAAACCTAATCATGCTAATTGGCCTCACACCTTATCAATATGTCAGCCACACAGTGACTGTGAGACTTGGTCAAACTACAAAACTCAGGCCTCACACCTTATCAATTCATCAGTCACACAATGACTGTGTGACTTGGTCAAACTACAAAGCTCACTGTGACTCAGTTTCCTCTTCAAAAAAAAGAAGATGTAAACGCAAACCTATAAAACCAGAGTGTTCTGAGGCGTGAAACATTTTTGCAGCACGGTAAAAGGCAAATGATAGCAATCTAATATTTTGCAATGACAGCAATCATTGCATTTTGGTTAAATTCCAACCAGGAGGAAATTTGCCCTCTGCTTTCAGAGTGGAAAGTTTCCTGAAACTTGTTTGTTCATTAGAGCTCATTACTTTCCTTCAGTGAAAAAAATTTCACCCCTGGTGGCCATTGGATTAGCCTTCTGCTCCTCGTCTGGTCACAAAAAGCAACAGAAGGGTAAAAATAACAGGTCCTTTGAAAATGTTTCTGTAAAGATGGTGCATCTTAGAATAAATTTCTACATAGTTGGACAAAGGGAAAAAAATCAGGGCAACACCATTTGCTAAAAAATTGACAGCCGCCTGCTATTTTGGAGATCTCTCCTCTAATTGCAGGCACCTGCTGTGGCGTGGTGTACTCTAAAATATATCTCACCAGTAATGCTGCTTGGCAGCAGCCAGGGCCACCCAGGCGGGACCCTGCAGTCCCAGGCTTCACAGCTTCACAGGAACTGGGGTTTTCTTCCCGGGTAACATTTGAGTGGAAATACAAATAAATTCAGTGTGAGCCCCTCTCCCTGCTCAATTCTATCACATCACCTCTATCTCTCTTCCACCCTCCCTCCCTCTCCCTCTTAACTAATTTTTCCTGTTCCCTCTCCCTTCAGCATTCCTGACCCCTCACCCTCTTGCAACACAAAATTCAGGCTTGATTCCTTCATTTGTTATTTCCTTGGCTTCTGAAATATTTTTTCCCCTTCTCTCTCTGCTTTTGTTGTGCCTCTGTGTTTCACGTACTCTCAAGCTCAGAAAACTCAGGCAACCCTTTCAGGACTGCAGGGCTTTGAGAGACACGCGATGACCAAAAGCCCTGCTCTGCACGTCGCGGTGTCTGTGCCAGCCTCACACCACCTGCAGCGGCTCCTCCCTCTGGCCTTTGTGCAGGCCACCAGCCTCTCCCTCCTCTTTCTCCTTCACCCTTGCCCTGCTACCTCAAACACCTCCAGGGATTATGACTCCAGCACCTCCTGGGCACCCCATTCCAATATCTAATTGTGACGGTGTTCACAGGGGTTTTTGGGTGAGGGAAGAGATGAGGATCTGACCCTATGTTTCAGAAGGCTGATTTATTATTTTATGATATCTATTGCATTAAAACTACACTAAAAGAATAGAAGAAAGGATTTCCTCAGAAGTCTAGCTAAGAATAGAAAAAGAAAGAATGATAACAAAGGGTCTGTCTCAGAATCTGTGTCCAAGCCAGCTCACTGTGGTTGGCCATTAATTACAAACATCTAACATGGGCCAATCACAGATCCACCTGTTCCATCCCACAGCAGCAGATAATCAATGTTTACATTTTGTTCTTGAAGCCTCTCAGCTTCTCAGGAGGAAAAATCCTAAAGAAAGGATTTTTCATAAAAGAAGTCTACGACATCTAATCACCTTTTGTGTCAAGAAATTCCTCTGAATGTCCAACCTGAACCTCCCCGGCACAGCTTGAGGCAGAGGCCAAACCTCCCTGGGCACACCGTCCTTTCGGGTGGCTGTAGTGCAGTGAGGTCCCCCCGAGCCTCCTTCTCTCCAGACTCAACACCCCCAGCTCCCTCACTCACAGCACTCGCGCTCCACACCCTTCCCCTGACTCGCTCCAGCCCATCAAGGCCTTTTCCAAAGTGAGAGCCCAGAACTGGACACAGCATTCGAGTACAGAGGGACAATTCCTGCTTCAGGCCAGGGTGCCATTGGCCTCCTTGGCCACCTGGGCACACCTGGTTCAGTTCAATCCCTCTGTGAAAAATGCGTGTATTTTATGATTGGCTTTTCGCAAATATTAAAATGAATATTATATGTGTCGTGTTAGAAAGTAATGCTGTATTAAATCTCTTAAGTACTGTGTTAAATATCGTTTTAGGTTATAAAAATTGTTAAAATAGGAACTATGCTATGTAAGATGCTTTGTTTAAAAGAAAGGACTTGCAGCGAGATAGCAGCCACAAGACACCTAAATCTTTCAGAGAAAAGGAATTTATTGCCCTCTTATCAGAAGAAACGAACTTCTTTCCGCCTCGAAGGCGCTGTTAGGATTTGGAAGAAGAAGTTGACGATGACCAGACAGAATCCTGTATTTAAATGGAATTTATGCATCATGTATGAAGTGTATGAATATGCAACAGGCTATTGTTTTTAAGGGTTAATCCTTTGTTAACATGTGTCCTTTTTCGGGCTCGTGATGCCCAGAAAAAGGTACTCGGACATCCTTCACTCTTTGTTTTTATTGTCTCATATTGTCCTAATTGAGTTTACCCAGATGGTTATTACTCTAATTGTGTTACTATTTTTTAGCCATTTTATTACTATTAAACTTTCAAAAATTTTAAAAACAAGCGACTGGCGTTTTTCACACCGGCGCCCCAGGTCCTTTCACAGTGGGCCACCTTCCAGCCACTGTTCCCCGCGCCTGGAACGCTACGCGGGGTTACTGGGCACACGGGCACCGCGCGAGTCCCCAGGGAAGGTAACGAAAAGCGGGCACGCGAACACCGGCTGCCGCGGGCGCCGGCCGTGCCGCCCAGCGCCACAACGTTCCCCTGCGCGGCGCCCGCCGGGAGCCGCAGTCCCCGCCTGGTCCTCGTCCGCGGCCGTTTCCAGGCGGGGCTCGGCCGGGGACTGCCCTTCCCACTGTTCCCCGCGGTGCGGCCGGCCGGGCCGGCGGGGCCGCCATGGGCTGGGGGCTCCGGCTGTGCGTGCTGGGCGGCCTGGCTGCCTGGACGCAGCGGCGCCGGGCGGCGGCGGCGGCCGCCGAGTGGAGCGACAGCGAGGCCGGGCGGCGGCGGTATCTGGAGCTGAGGCTGGTGCAGGTCCTGTTCCGGCACGGGGCGCGCACCCCGCTGCGGCCGATCCCGGGGATAGAGCCGGTGAGCTCGGGACGGGACGGGTCGGGGCGCGGGCGGTGCGGAGGTGCCCCGAGCCCGAGCCGGCGGCGTGCCCGCCGCTGAGCTCCTGCCTCGCTGCCGGCAGCCTGCTGGTTTGCCGTTTATTCCCCTTCCGAAAGAGATACCGAGAGTGATTTCCGAGGGGAAAGAATGGGAATTGGGAGCTTGCACCGCATGCCGCGAGTGGCTGGACAGCTGCCCAGTGGAAAAAGGCCTGGGGGTGCTGCTTGACAGCGACTGAAGTGAGCCCGATGTTCGCCGAGGAGACCAGTGCCATCCTGGCCTGGAGCAGCAGGAGCAGGGCAGGGATCGTCCCTGTCCAGTTGTGGGTGCCTCAGTTCAGGAAGGACATTGAGGGGTGCTGGAGTGATGCCAGAGAAAGGCCACGGACCTGGGAAGGGTCTGGAGCACAAATGTTAGGAGAAGCCACCGAGGGAGCTGGGGGTGCTTGGTCTGGAAAAGAGGAAGCTTAGGGGTGACTTTATCACTCTCTACAACTTCTTGAAAAGAGGTTGTAGCCAGTTATGGGTCAGTCTTTTCTCCCAGCAGGATGAGAGGAGACAGTCTTTAATCTGTGCCCCAGGAGGTTCAGGTTGGACATTAGGAGGAATTTCTTTACCAAGAGGGGGATTAGACATTGGAATGGGCTGCCCAGGGAGGTGTAGGAGGTGCCTGTCCCTGGAGGTGTTTAAGGAAAGACTGGAAGTGGCACTGTGGCCTGGTTGACACAATGGTATTCAGTCACAGTTTGGGCTTGATGTTCTCAGAGGTCTCATCCAACCTAATTAATTCTGTGATTCTTTAAAGTGGAACAGCAATAGCACATTGGTGGGACAGAAGACAGCAGAGGGAACAATTGCTGCAACTACAGGAAGCCCTCAGGGGCAGGATACAGGGATGGGCATCCCGGGACTTTACTCCAAGGCCAAGTTGTGCACCTCAGGTGCTCAGCAAAGGTGTGGCTCCTGCCTCAGTGTTAGCACAAGGGATCTGGTTTCCCCAGCTTCCACTGAGGTGGCCTGGGGAGGCAGCAGGGGTTAGCTCAGGTAGTTTCCTATAGCAGCTTTTAGATGTGTAACAAAGAGCAGCAATTGTGATTTCCTACAGATTCTTCTCCTGTAAGGGAAGTAAAGCAAGTGCTGCATTTCCTGCACATCACATCTGCAAATCCAGAGAGTAGCACTGCTCTCATTTCTCTATGAGCTGTGTAAAGAGATCCCTTTGTCTCCGTGTTGTGTTGTTGGCAAGCCAGCACACTGTAATACTCCAGTTTTAGTTTAATGCTCTTAAAAGTCCTTGGTTTAATGCCCTTGAAACTTTTCCACTGAAGCAGTTTGTTTGTTTGTTTGTTTGTTTTGAAGCGGGTGGAATGGCAACCCACTCTTTTGGATGTACCTCCTAGGACTAAGTTTGAATACATGGTGACAGACCTAAAGGGAGGACCTCAACCTCCCTCGCTCTTGGATGAGGAATACTGTAAGACTGTTTTTAAGGTAAGAGTGTATTTGCTGGTGGATTCCTCTTTCCTCTGTAGACTTTTTTATTTCTATGGTCCACTGGAGACCTCTCCTTCTCTTTGCTCTTAGGGTGGTGCAGCCGCAGGACAGCTGACCTGTGTGGGGATGAAGCAGATGTACACCCTGGGGCAGCGGCTGAGGAGAAACTATATGGAAGAAGTCCAGTTTCTTTCACCAATATTTAAGTCTGCTGAAGTCTTGTGAGTCTGTCAGTTCCCTCCTGGACCTTCCTATCTTCCTGCCTCTTAACCAGTAGCCTTGTGCTAGGGAACACTTGATAGCATATCCTTCTTCACCCCACAGCAAACTGTCTGGCCCCCCTGGGCCTTCATCTTTGCTTAGCCTGCAGAGCCTGGCACCAGAAATCACTCATGACACAAAGCATTCAATTGCCCAGCAGTCCTGAGAGTGATGCCAGGGACAGATTCATCTCACCTAGGCTGAGCCACTGGCAGTGCTGTTATGCACTTTCGTGGTGAGCATAACACCACAAAGAGAAACAGGCATTTCTGGAGCACTCTTTAACTCACTGCAAACAGCTGAAGTTCAGTGAGATGAAGCAAGCCCTGCTGCTCACATCAGTAATGCTGAGAGCATCTGGCTTAGGATGGGATAAAAAAAAATCACACCAGAGAAGTGCCAGTTTATCTCCACTATCTCTGACAAGCAGTTAAAGGGCAGTGCAGATTATAAGTGTCTACCTAAGATATCTATAGTGACAAAAGATGTGTCCTACCACAGATTTCCAAAGCCATGGTGGAATCCTCAGTTCCAGCAAAACCTCCCCGCTGCAGCCATGTTAACATGAAGGAGAAAGTGCTGCCTCACAAACTGCTTTCTCTCTTTCAGCATCCGTTCCACTAATATTGTCCGGAATCTGGAGTCCACACGCTGCGTGCTAGCTGGGCTGTACCAAGAGCAGAAAGAAGGTTGGGGAGACTTCTGAATAGTGCCTTTCCTTGCTTGGTCTTCCCTAGATGCTCACACCTTCTGCATCCTAACTCTCTCTGGCTCCTAGCTGTTACTTCTTCCTCGGTTCTTTGCACTTGGCTCCCTTCCTCAGTTCTCCTGGTCCTGTAGTTCTTTACCACTTTGTCACTTGTTCCCTCTCCTTGCGTATCTTTCTGCCGCTCTTTCAGACCTGCTGAGGAGGTTAGTGTTAACCCTCTTCAAAATCAAGAAGGCTAAAAGTTCACACATCAGAAAAAGGTTTCTCAGGGAAACCCAAGTGTCTTGGATACAAGTTCAGTGTCTGGAGTAACTTTCACCTGTATCCTGCAGTTGGTAACTACTTGTTCTAAAAATACGCTCTGCATTTTAAAGATCTCACATCTGCTCCTTCCACATTCAGTTCCACTAACAAGTAGAAGTGACTTGCCAGAGCTCCTTACACTTCATGACACAGAGACTAATCTTTGGCACTAAGAAAAATGAACACAGAACTGGGAAGCTTTACAAAGTGCACAGCAGGCATCCCTGTGGAAATAAATGCACAGAAACAAGTACAGTGGCTTGTGTTGCAGGTGATAGATAGCTCGAGGGAAATTGCTAGTTGATAACACTGGACTTGAGCACAAAGACTGCGGGAGTGATTATAAAGCAGTCTAAAGAAACACAGCTGCACTACTGATCACAGAAACTTCCTTCTTGTTCCACAGATCCTTGTTCCAAAGTTTCTCTTGAAGTTCCAGTCATTGTCACTGATGAAGCATGCACTGAAATACTCTACCCCAATTACCAGAACTGCCGGCGCCTGAAAGACATGACCAGGTAATTGCCAGCAATATCTCCCCGTATGATTTCACTGCTGTTTGGTTTCACCAGTAGTCATTTACAACAGCACATTTTTTTCCCATTTCCCAATTTCTTTCCCTACCACTTACTGTTCTTTGGGAATGGTTAGCTAGTTGTATAAAATACTTGGTAAGCGGAATGATACACCAGGCAGTGGCAGCAGAAGAAGATAAAACAGGGACTTTTCCTTGAAAGACCAGTTTAATTTAGTCTGTGTCTAGCAAACATTCATTACTAGCTAATGTACAGCTAGTCTGTAGCATTGCTGCAGGGCAGAATTAATGTCATCTACATGTCTTAACAAGCCTTTCAAGTGTGAACATACTGGGCCTCCTTTTTATATTCAGCTTCTGGTTTGGGGGTTATTTCAGCACTCCCGTTGCATTCATACCTTGAAGAAACTGAAATATTCTCAGCCTTGACACATTTAATGAAGGCTAATGAAGTGAAATAAGGAAGATCCTACATAGAACACTCATGTTTGTGGAGTCAAGTTCTTTGAAATGCCTGTGCCAGGCTTGGGCACAGGGCAGAAAATGAAAAAGAGAGGCAGATATATTACACTTTGGCTGGATTGTACATTAGCATGTTTTTGCCCAAAATTCAAGAGCTGTCAGAATTCACTTGCAAGAGCTCACTGTGCAGTGTTTGACTCTGCAGCAAAGGATTGGTCTAGACAGTGGTGAGGTGACAGTCCCTAGAAGCAGCATATTCAGCCTCCTTGAGTAAACCACCTGTCCTGTAAAAAAAGGAGTAAACTGCAGGGTCTGCTGCTCCCTGCCCCCCTCTGCCCACCAAACTGCACCTTTTGTGACCATATCAAAGTAGATGTTTTGAGCTGCACTAAGCACTGCCTCAGCTTGCAAGCTACCTAGGGACTACAATGGCCAGCACGGATATTCTCAGCTAAATTTTTTAAAATAGAATTTAAAGCAGCATAAAGATGCAAATGGCTTCCAACAAAGCAAAAGTTGGATTTAAGCTACAAGCGAGTATCTAGGTGTTTCCCATTTCCCACACCATACAGCAATCAGTTTAAAGCTGCTTCTTTCATGAGGCAGTTAAAGGCCTCCTGAAAGAAGACACAGACCTGAACTGTTGCAGTATGACCAGATCTGTTAGCTGATACACAGCCCTTGCTTAGGGGGTGGCACTTCTGGGGTGTTCACATCTCATCTTAATTTTTCCCCCTGCCTTTGGGAGAGCAGAGAGCCAGCTCTGATCCTTGAAATCTGGATACAGCATCTGTTCTTTCTGCGGCTCAGAATCCCAACATCAGAAATCCCTCAATATGCTGCAGTGCTTCTCTTCTACCCCTCACTGATGTGGGAGAACTCCACTGGGCTGGGTGATGAGAAAAACAAAAGATAGCCTGGTGTGTGAAAAATTTTTGGTTTTCTTAATTCCTTTACAGGAGTAAGTCAGAGAATGCTATGCACCAGCCAGGCATCTGTGATGACTTGGCAAAAATTAAGAAGAGTATGTGCATTAATGATGATGAATCTCTGGATTTTTTTGTCCTCCTCGATAACATTTCTGCTGAGCAGGTGAGCTGAGCCTTTCTGTTGCACTATCACAGAAAGAAACATCCCCTTAGCATGTACATGGAAGAAATCACAGTGCCAGCACCCACAGATACTAATGTGCACTCCAGCAGCTTTCTATGCAACCCAGAATGCTTCTAGAAATAGCATGGCCTTTGGAAAAAGGGTTTGTGGGGTCACCCGTGCTGTGGGATGGATGAAGACTTGTCTCCAGTATTTTTGTTCTTACCTTGAAATGCAGGGACAGCAAGCCTCCAAACCTCTTCCCTGCACTCCTCTAAGTATTTCTTTCAAGTGTAATGTAGAGCTAATAGAGACATTGGGCCTTGCTTCGCCATTATCAAGTGCTTCCCCTTTTTTGGCACTCAGCACCTAACAGTCATCTTAATGCCAGTTCCAGCACACTGCCTGTGAGCCAGACTGCTTCTGCTGCTGGAAGGAAGCTGGGCACATTTCTACCCCTCCTTAGTGCCTCTTTTTTGCTGGAGCTAATGATAACTGGTCTGCCAGCTGAATGGCTCAGTGTGTTACACTCCCCATGGAACTGGATCCTAAAGAACAAACATCCATCCTTTTGGTGCACAGAGCAAGTCTGTATGTTTAAAACCATCCTAAAAACCCTCACGAGTATCGTAGTACAATCCTGTAGTACAAATGGTGTGACACAGGCAGCTGTTTTCTGTGGGCAGCCCTCCATGTGTCCTCAGGCTGGGTTCAGAAAGGGTCAAACCCTACCACTGTGCTGCATTCCTCCTTCCAGGCACACAATATGCCAAGCTTCCCTGCGCTGAAGAACTTCCAGCCGACGGTGGAACGCCGATGTGTTGACTCCATGCTTTTCGTTCTGGGAGACACTTGTTCCAGGTGATTGCCTGTGTCCATGCCTCTGGCCTCAGTGGCTGTCTTACCTAGGGTGGATATGCTAAACCAGCTTACTTCAGCAGACAGAAATGCTTTCCCATCTGCTGCATTCCCCCACGAGAGCCCACTCATGAGTTTTGTGCCTCAGGCATCTCAAGGTAAAGTTCAGCACCTTGAGCCCTAGGAAAAAGGATTGCACACTGAGGTAGGCAGCGAAGGCCTCAGTTGCCACAGAGGTTTAAGTGAACCAGTGGCAAAAGCAGAAGCAAAGAGGAGATGCTTCCAGCCCATGCCCTGAGGCTGCCCTTGCAGTTGCACAAGTACAGTCCAAATTCCAGCCTGGGAAACTTTTCCCAGGGATGGCACCTGCACAGCTCGGCTGAGAAGCGCTGGCGCTAGCGGAAAAAGTGATGCCAGGCCCTGCACACATGTAACTACATGCAGAGAGACTGCTGCTACGTGCAGCTAATTACCTCCTCCACAGTTGTTTGTAAAGGCTGGCTGAGCCTAGCAGTCATTTTCCTTTCAGATTCATTTGCAGCTGCCACATTCACCAGCTCTTCTCAGGTGGTAGTACAGGACTGTCTTTTCTTTACCATGTATTAGAGATCTCAGGTAATGAAAGACTGATTTACCCAATTCCCACAACACCCAGGAGAGTTTGTCACACACATCTTCCATTTCCACTGATGTATTCATTAGGTAGAGGGAGTTTCTTCTCACCAGATATTGCATAAAGATAATCTCTTTTCTTTAATAAGAGAATAAAAACTACTTTTTAAATGTAACAGCCACTTTCTTGAATCCTGCCCCTCCTCACCAAAGACCCCAACCACTTCAGCTGCTGTTTTGCAGCAGTAATCTTCCCTAGATTACTCAAAAACCATACCAGGGAAACAAAACAGCCTAGAGAACAATCAAAGAGTTTCTAGATTGTCATTTACATGGCCACACCTCATGAAACTATTGTTAAGACATCTCTTCTCCCATTCTGCAGTCACATTAGAGTGGTGACTGCACAACAGATGAACTAAAAACTGGCCATATTAATTGCATTTAATAGTTCTTAGCTACACTCAGTGCAGGTGATCAAATCATAAGAGAAAAGCAGGTTCTCAAGTTTCCATGTATAATTGTGTGAAAGTTTTAAAACTAGTAAATTTATTTCTGCTTCTTTTCTAGAGAAATGCTTCAGATGAGTATTGGCCTCCTGCTCAATACTTTGGAGAAGAACATTAAAGCAGCAGTAAATCCCTCAAATCCAGCTGAAAAGGCCAGGTACAGCACAGAACTTCTCCTCTAATCATTATAAATTCTAACTTGATGGCACTGTGAAAAACTGGTTCAGAAAGACATCGAATTTGTGGGATTAAAAGGAGTGCTCACCTGCTAAAAAAAGCATGAGTGCTGCTGCCTATCCATGGAGGAACACAGCTGACATTCCAACTCTGTCTTTTCCTGGTTTTTTTTCCAGAAAGCTCTTCCTCTACGCTTCTCATGACTCCACTCTTATTCCTCTCCTGCTGGCACTGGGCACCTTTGATAACAAGTGGCCACCTTATGCTGCTGATGTGGCCCTGGAACTGTACCAGCACCGGCGCACCAAGGAGTGGTTTGTGCGCATGACCTACCAGGGAGAGGTGAGATCCCGTGGCAAGTCCCTCCTGCAAATCTTGGGCTTGTGGTTCCACCATGCAGCAAAAAAGGGCTTTGGCAGTGCACAATATCTGTGATTCTGTCTCTTTGCCTTGCAGGAGAAAGTGGTGAAAGGCTGTAAAACAGGACTCTGCCCACTCGAAGAATTTCTGGACGTTATTTCACGGTACTCGCTCACTCCGGAGAAGTACAGCAGCCTGTGCTGCAAAGTGGACAGGAGTTGAAAAACTAACTCATAATTAGTTATAAATTAAAGTTAGTCACAATTTATTGTCACAATCTTCGACTGTTTTTCTTTATGTCCTTGCTAGCCTTCTCTATTGCAAATGTATTTTAGATGAGGGGACATTTTCCTACCAGACACAGGGTGGCACAGTGTCACTTTACACTGTTAGCAGCAGGCTGAAAGAAGCCACGTGACAGAATGGCTCAAGTTTTCTTCTGAGGTGACCACACAAAAGCAGGGAGAGGCTGAAAACAACGAGGGTGAGAGGAGACCATTTAAAATTGCCCATCTGTATCAGGAATATTGACAAAACATGCCTCTTCCTCATTTGCTGGGACTGTGGGATGAAGCCCAGCTTACTCTATGCTACCAGCCTTGAAAGCTTTGACATAACATTGATTTTATGTTTGGTAAACTGCAGAAGCCATTGTGCCTTTCCCTTTCTTTTGGCATTTTGGAGGGTTGCTTTCTGCAGCCAGATGAGCCTCCCTAATTGCACAGCATTGAGCTACCCCATCTTCTTGAGGGCATTTTCACGCACAGGAAACATCTCCAAGGGGACAGCAAGCCTCCAAACCTCTTCCCTGCACTCCTCTAATTATGGAAATTCTGCCATGAACATGCAGAACAACCACAGTGGGCCAAGTACAAGAACACACAATCTTGGTGAACTCTGCTTAATGTGCTTTAAACAAGGAAGTCTGGGGAGCTGCTATCAACTTCAGCTTTGGGCAGCAGTGACCTATTTTGCTCTTGCTGAAATAGGCAGACAGCACTAACCAACAGCACTACTTCTGGCTGAGATGACAGCTTTTCCTGTAAGAATCAATGTTGCCAAAGTCATAGAACCAGAATGGTTTGGGTTGGAAGGCACCTTAAAGATCACATAGTCCCAAGCCCCTGCCATGGGCAGGGATGCCATCCACTTGAGCAGCTCAAAGCTCCATCCTACCTGGCCTTAACACTTTCAGGGATGGAGCATCCATAGCTTCTCTGAGCAATCTGTGCCAGTGCCTTACCACTCTCACAATAAAGAATTTAACCTAAAACTCTCCTCTTTAGTTTAAAACTGTTCTCCCTTCTCCTATCACTGTCTGCCCATGCAAAAAGTCACTCTCTATTTCTTACAAGCCCCCCCATTAGGCTGCTCTAAAGTCCTTCTGGAGCCTTCTCTTTTCCAGGCTTAGCAGCCCCAACTCTCCCAGCCTGTTCTCATAACAGAAGTTATCTAATTCTCTGATAATCTTTGTGGCCTCCTCTCAACTATCTGTACAGGTCCAAATCTTTCTTGTGCTGGGTGCCCCAGAGCTGGATGCAGCACTGCAGTGGGGTCTCACCAGAGCAGAGCAGAGGAGGGGGGGCAGAATCCCCTCCTTGATTGCTGCCCACAGGGCTCTGCATGCAGCCCAGAACATGGTTGGGTTTTTGGGCTGCGAGCACACGGTGCTGGCTCATGTCCAGCTTTTCATCCACCACAATTCCCAAGTGCTTCTCCACAGGGCTGCTCTCAATGACTTCTCCTAGGCTGGTCTCAGGTCTGGGATTGCCCTGAGCCAGGTGCAGCACCAGGTACTGGGACTTGTTGAACCTCACTAGGTTCTCACAGTGTCACTTCTCAAGTTTGTCCAGGTCCTTCTCTTGCGTCAACGGCACCACTTGACTTTGTGTCCTCTGCCAACCTGCTGAGGGTGCACTCCATCTCACTGACTATTTCATTGAAAAAGATCTCCACTTTTATATAAGTAAATAAAACGTGGTCCCTACATCCCTTGGGATTGGCAGAGGTTAAAATAGAGGGACCATTTATTAAAATGGCCCTGCAATTTAGGTTCTGTGTTACCCCTTCTCACTTAGTGAAAAAATCACTTAATGTAAGCCATTGACAGGTATGTGATGGAGGCACTAGAGCACCTTTTCCCTAAGAAGAATGGGCTGGATTTACCCCTACCCTTTCATTAGCCTGCCCCCACCACAATTGCATGTTGACACCACGCACAGAGAACAGAATAATTTGAATGCTAAATACATTGCTGGAGGTCTCACTGAACTGCTATTAGAAGCTGTCAAAAAAAGCAAACACAACATTGTTATTTTCCATCAAGTTTTTGTACAGCCTGAAACCATAATGCCACTACATAAAAATCAATGCCTACCCCTTCTTAAGAACAGTGTGTTCTGCTCTAATCAAGCTCCCTCTTATACACAGTTTCAAGTATTTGGGGAACAGTGATGAAAATACTAGGTCTACAATTACAAGTTACTTGTGAGGCATGAACTGCTTGGAAAAAGGCATCAGGAACTTTGGCCATACCAAAGGGGAATTCACATACCTATTCTTAAATAATAACTAGGAGCATCCCTAACAAAACTGACCAGCAGTAAGGAAGGTAAAAAGTTGCAGCACAGCCACAAGCCAGAGCACTCAGAAGCACAAGTTGCTTAAGAGGGCACTGCTTTTACACAATTAAGATCCTCCTATCACTCTAGGCAGGGTAACACTAATTTCAGTAACAGCAGAAGACCTGAGAAAAGCAGGCCAGTGGCTTGGAGGAAGGCACCACTGGGAACAGCTTTCTTCCCTGTCTCTTGCAGGGTTTCTGCAGTGCCCCCTCTGCCCTGTTCTAGCCTTACCTTTGCCCTCAGTGCCAAAGTGGTTGGGCCATGCAATGGTCCATCCCACTGAGCACTTCCATGGTAGTTGTGGCCCACAGGATGAAGGAGGAGTTATTTCTGACCACAACTAGTGTAAATGATCATTTCAGAAGAGGATTGGGTGGACAGTGGAAGAGTTTTAATACCAAAAGACACAACTAAGTGGGAGCTACTGTATTGCAAACACAGCATGGAAGAGCTGAGGCATTCCTGAGAATGTGGAATAAAAATTCTCAGAAATCAACAATTCCCCAGTATCCCAAACAAAACAGCATCACTTTTTTTTGTGGGTCATTAACTATTTTAGGTTGAAAATGACTACCAACTAACAAAGTAAAGTACATTTTAGTAAATACAGGCCTATATCAAACATGGATCATTTTTCCTCGAGAAGTGTCACATTAAGGAACATGTTTCAGCCAGCAGCCTGGTAAGGCTGCACAAGGAAACCATTCACCATCATGACTAAAAAAGGACACCACTGTCAGACATATTTTCTGAAAAACCCTTTCATTAGGATCTTTTCTCCTGAGAATCTGGGAAGCTTCAGCTTCTCCATGTTTTGCTACTTTGGAATGTGATTTGGAGAATTGTTTACCCAGCATGTGAAATTGTTTTTACTTGATGACCAATGACAGCCACCTGTGTCGAGGCTGGGAGCAGTCACAAGATTTTATTATTCTTTTTCCTTTCCTTTCCTTGCTTTCTGATGAAATCCTTTCTTCTATTCTTTTACTATAGTTTTAATATATAATTTTCTTTTAATATAATATATAATAAAATAATATATCAGCCTTCTGAAACATGGAGTCAAGATTCTCATCTCTTCCCTCATCCTGGGACCCCTGTGAACACCACCACACACCACCAATAAAATGTAGCCTGTCCTGCCACCCAAGTGAAAACCAGCACAGCAGAGAGCACACAAAGCACCTCAAAATTAAGCCCTGCATATACCCTATTTATAACAGTCCCAACAATGGGGGAACAAAAAATGGGGCATTTCAACTTACCCTCAGAAAGATTTGGGCACCCACATCTACTCTCGATCAGGACACATGTATGGTACCAGAAGCACTGCCAGCATTCAAATCCCAACCAAGACTGATGCAGACCAGATCTCCACACACAGGTCTGTCTTCCAAAATGTGACCCATTAGACACCCCAAGGATGTCAGGACTAAACTCCTAAGGCTGGCTCCTTGCTGTCATCTTCTTTGGCAGATTGGCTGGTCCATGATACAGGTACAAACCTCCAGTTTATTTGGATGGTGCTTAAAACTGCCCGTGTACTTCACAGATGACCTGAGTGCAAGTCTACTAATTTAAAACAAGCAGATTTCAAATATTTCAAACTTTTGATTTAGCAGGCACATTACTTGGCGTTTCAGAAGTTCACCATCTGCTGGGTTTACCTTTTAAGTCTCTCCACACTCCGGCTGCGCAGCCATCTGGGATGAGATAATTTGAACAGCAGACTGTTTCCTCCCATGTTACTAGAGAGGAAGAGCAGCCAAGCATGTATGAATAAAGTCTATTTCATTCTTTCAAACAAAGGTGGAGGAGGATGATTTGAAAGCTTAAAAAAAAAAAAATGGGAGGGGGAGGGAAGAAAACTAAAAATGGCAACCCACTTTCCATCTTCAACTGTACCATGACTACCAAAGCTGAGTCACAATTACTATTGATAAGCAGGAGGGAACAGATCCTGACTTACAGATCCTCAGGTGAATCCACAAGGCTGACAGCTAGAAAGCTTTTCCATTTGCAAAGCAAAAAGGGAAGAAATGGAATCAGAGCAAAACAAAGAAGTTCATCTACATACACGTACACAGTCATTTTCACAACTGGAGCCAGTTAAGACCTTACCAACTCTTGTTCATCTGCTGGTGCACCTATGTGGACTCAGGAGAATCCACATCTTCTGCACTTTCTGTAGGAAAAATCTCATTAAGATGCCAAATGGCAGCATCATAAATTAGACACAGAAGGAACTTTAATTATACAGTATGTTTTCAATGTATCCTCTCACTGTTCAGTGGCTTTGAAACAGTGAATTTCCTATGCTAATTTTCCTAGAATAAGTCACAGCCACCTCAAATCCTTTGCTATTCAAAATCTTAACAGGCATAGGAAGCCCTACGACAGTTTAAAAAAATCCCAAAACCTTCTGCTCATTTCTATGTCGATCAAAAACTTTGCTTTGTTCAACATGGTAAAAACAGTCAGGAGTGATGGCAGAAGTGGCAACACTTGAAAAGGTTGCATTGTAACAATTCCCATGCAAGGTCCTCAAAAGGGAGCTGTGCAACCACTTAAAGAGGTAATTCCACTCTACAGAAATAACACTTACTGTGTCATTGTCATCTCCTTCCAAAATCTTGACAAGCCCGTGCTTCACGCTGCCTGTCTTGTCAGAGGGAAGCACCACAACAGACATCCTACACTTTGTCAAAAAAGTAATTCTCACCCAAAATCATCGTATATTTGCATGACAGCACAAAGGTGAATTTGGAAGCAGACAACAGAAGGCTCTGAGGCTTGCGTGCCTCCAACACTGCCTGGCTTCACTCATTTTGTAACACCAGCAACAAAAGTTTAGTAAATCAGCCACCAAGAGGAATTCTTTTTCCACCTGTTAAGGATCAGTTAACTCTAAAAAATTCTCACACACAAGCATGTTAAAAATTCTGATTCTCCACATGAATATTCACACTAATGGCCAGCCCTCTGAAGAAACTACTCATTGAAATAGTTTTAAGTAGCAGTAAGTGGAAGGAAGAACAGATTACCCACGCCATATACAGTGCTGGGGGACCAGAGAACAGCCAGCCACAGAGCCCACACCCTGGCCTACAGATCCATATCTGGCTCATGCTGGTATTCTCCAGGAGCAGGGCTCAACTCCCAATCCATGTTTTGTCATCCATCCTTTCACTCCTCATAAGCAGGAC